TCCTTCCCTCTAGAGTTGGACATGACGCCCTTCATGGCATCCAGGTGAGAATTCAAATTTATAGCAATTTCTGACTTTTTCACAATCTGCATCAAACCTATATATTTATATTGTCCATAAATGCACTAATAATAAGCTCACATAGACATCTTTGGCTTTATTAAATCTTATTATACAGCTTAAAAGAATGACTTTTCTAAGTGGTGTTATTCTGCCCCCTAGTGGAGCAATTTAATTTCCTCCTATTGAATGCATCTTTATTTTCCCTTCTGTTTTCCACAGTAAAGAGAGCAGAGTGAATGGGCAGTATCAACAGTCGGTTGACGTATTAAACAACGACAATAAGTGAGTACCTGTGGTTGTGGGCTATGAAACAAACATGTTATAGAACTGTTTTCAGCCCTTTTATAGAAGTGCTGGGAGAACACAGCAGCATAAGCCAAAGACCTGAAGTATCCGACTGTGACTTCCTCTAATGAAATCAATCTGAATCTTATTAAAAGCTGCTTAGTTTTGCTAGTTACAGTGGCTCCCATTTTCCAGAACATTTATTGGGGATTTACTGCCTTAATAAAAGTGTCACTTTCATTTCATGAAGATGTACTAATGATTCTTTTTATGACGTCTCTATCTATGCTATGGGACATCAGGTTGTGATTAAAGAATGATGTCACATCTGCTTTGATTTGCAGGTATTCTTTGTTTGCTGTGGTCAACCACCAAGGCACATTAGAGAGTGGTCACTACACCAGCTTCATCCGTCAACACAAAGACCAGTGGTTCAAGTGTGATGACGCCATCATCACCAAGGCCAGCATTAAGGATGTGCTTGATAGCGAAGGGTAAGATTCAGTCCAAAAGATTAACAGAAGTTGTAAATTTCCGGAAACTGAGCTGGATGTTGGTTTTCTCCTTTAGGTATCTCTTGTTCTATCATAAACAGTTCCTTGAGTACGAGTAGTTTCTGACACCACTGAGCATGGAAAGCCACTGCTTCAGAGCGGAGAGTCAAGAGACCCAGGGGCAGGAGAAAGCGCAAACACACAACCCTACCTGAAATCTTTTGACTACCAGTCTGCTCCTCCAGCTGAGTAGGACAAAAAAAAAAGAGACATGTAAAATCATGCAACTTTTGAAAAGAAACAAACAAAAAAGCACTGAGCTACTTCTTGGCATCTACTTGACAAAACTGAATGAAGAGGAGAGTCGGTGGAGCAGTCGGGCATCGTCACTTCAGGCTTGGGAAGAGAGCCTTGTCCTCCAGCGTCTGCTGCTTCCTGTTCCTGCTGCAGGGGGCAGAGTTTAGACACTTTGGTTTTTTTTTTCTTTCAGTAGTCTGACTCCCTTCCACCTCCCTGGCCTCCTTTTCTCTCCCATGGTGCTCTCTTTTCAAATGACCAAGCATTTAAACTCACTCGTGATGGAGAACAGTAAGTTGTCATATGCATAAAGGACCCATTGCAAAAATATATATAAATATATAAATAAATCAGTGTATTACAAACTTTGCAAGGACCTTTTTAAAGGTATGGTTATGATGTGTATCATTTGTGAATTTAGCTATGAAATACTGTACGGATCTAGTATATGTCTATTTTTTAAGAGCAATGAAAACATTGGAGAGCTTAGCGATCGCTGCCTTTGCCAGTTGCTGGGGAAGTGCTGCCATGGAAACGAAACGGATTTGGACCAGAGTGTTCTCATGTCCATTTATTTACTGTTGATTTCTTTTTTAAATTCTGGTTGAGGGCAGGGAATATCTATTTTTTTAGCAACTTGTGTCTTCTTTTTGTTTACTGTTCTTTTTCAGTGTATTTTGAAAGGTTTCAGTACATTTGCATGTCCGTAGCTGTCCTGGTAAAGGGGAGTGTGGGAGTAATGGTGGTGTTGATTCATTGGTTTGCCTTTTGGGTTTGAGAACTCGTATGTTGAACATGAGCTCCGGCTTCATTTGGCATTCTGAGCAGCAGAGCGGTGTGTGGACTCTAGATACGTCCCATTTATGAAGATGTTCTGTTCTTTTTCAAGGAACTTGTTGAACCTTCTGTAAAAAAGCTCATTTAACAACCCGGATGCTGCTTACAAATCAGCACCAGTAATGGTTCAAGGCGGGCTGCCAATCAGACGATGAGGCAGTGGAAGAGAGTGCGTGAGATGTATGGAGGGTGAAACATATTGCACACAAGTGGGGGGGATTATTTGACCACAGCCTGGCTCTGAATCCACCAGTGTTAAAAGTTCTCCATGGCAACTGTGTCTGGTGTGGTTTGTGGCATGTTTTGCCTCTGCAGTGCAGTAAACTTGATCCGTGCTGTCCAGTCAGACTAAAGATGATGTACTTTACCTGTCAGGGCCACCGATTGTAAATGTATGACACAAGGAAATGCTCTTTTGTTTAAAATAAATAAAACCAGGGCCCTGATCTATCATAGAATAATGCCACATTATAGTTCGAACCCCCTTTTTTGTATTTACTTCATTTTTTGCTGCTGAAATCAAACATGCATATCTTTTTGTCTGCTGCAGAGTCTGTGTGCAAGGGCAGCGAGAGTGGAATTCAGCACTTGTATAATGGTCACACTATGGTTTAGATGCATCACGGGGCAGTTAAGGCCTTCCAAGGACATTCAGGGAAACGGCTGAAACGAAAAAGGAAGAGAGCTTCATTATCTGTTTCAGTAATTAAACTCTCAACAAAACTGGAAATGTGTGTGTTGTGTCCTTTTTCTGCCGAAACGTTAGTTTAGAGGTGATGAACTGACATGTTTCTGCCTGGGAGACCTCTATAGGTAAAGACTCATCTGGTGCTAATTTGCCTCAGCTCTTGAGTTAAACATTTGGTATGTTGGTGCCCCCTTGAGGCTGCATGTAGCACTACACAATGTGGGAGATTAAATCACTCCAGGCTAGAAAAAGTGGTTTTTTTTTTAATGAAAGCTATGTTTTTTAAACAAGATGATACTAAGTTGTTATATAATTGTGATTTGTAGCAATAATTAAAGAGAAGACTTGAAATGTAAACAAAAGAAAATTAATTTAAGGTCTTTTTTATTTGACTCAAAATATTTCTATTTTCCCTCTTGAGTTGCAAGCAGATAAAGTGGCTCTTTTGGTAGATACAGTTGTTCTAAAGAAAAAAAAGTTGGGGTTTTGTCTTCTCTAGGGGCTAAAAGCCATTATTAGTACCGCAATTTTCAATTCATGTTTATTTATATAGCGCCAAATCATGACAACAGTCGTCTCAAGGCACTTCACACAGTAAATGTTCCAGTACAGGTCAGTTCATTAAGCCAATCAGAAAAAAACACAAATCTGAATTGTGCCGTTACCCCTCAGACCTGCAGATACTTCTGAACGGGCTCAAAAATAGATCAGCCAGTTTGTCTTTAATTCCATTTCAAGGCTCATAAAAAAAGATAATTCAGATCATGGACTCATTTCTATTCGGCTTATGTCTCAGTAGAGTCACATGGACCTGGTGACTGTTGTTTCTGATGCAAACACCGGCCATTAGCTCCCACCTCTCTAAAAGAAATCACTCCTGTAATTGATTCAATACAGCTGGGCCCAGACTTTATTCTTTAAAGAATGCTGTAAGCCAACCACAGCTTCAAGGACAAATACAAACAATGAGAACTTTATACAAAAGCACTTTTGACCACATCAAAGCAAATGCCAATAAAAAGCAAGGAAATCCGCTTCAACGATTCAGTCTGATAATCAAAAGCCTTAGTCTGTACATACCAGGTGCCAATGACGATCACTGTGAATTAGCTACCTTTATGTGAAGCGGCTGCTCACATCTCAGATCACTCATTAACAAACTCATCTCTGTAGTCTGGCTTGATGCTATTTAGATGCATGGTGGCGCAGTGGTTGGCACTGTTGCCTCGCAGCACGAAGGTTGGCGGTTCAAAACTGCTGCGGTCTTTCTGCAGGGAGTTGCGTGTTCTCCCCATGCATGCGTGGGTTTCCTCCGGGTACTCCGGTTTCCCCCACAGATCACAGCATGCCCTATAGGTTATAAATTGTAAGTCACTTTGGATAAAAGCGTCTGCTAAACAAATAAGCATATAAACATGTATTGCACAGTGCTTTTAGTACAACACATCAGGACACTTTTAACGTTTACATGCATGTTTTGCGTCAGAAATCATCTTGGTTATACTAAATTGTTTCTAATCAACACTGTTGCTATAGAAGTGTACAACACAGCAGGGGTGTCATCATGCAGCACTAACAAAGATCTAATTCAGTCATTCAGACACGGGTGGACTGGGATGAAAATTCAGCCCTGGCATTTTTATGAACCACCTGCCCTCAGAGCGAGGGGGCGGTCGGCCCCAGGTCAGTCCACCCCTGTATGGACACAATGATAGAATATGCAATTCAATTAGGCACACATGGAGGATTTGCTGACATTTTTCATTTAACATGTGTAAATCTACATATATTTACATTATAGTGTTGTCTGGTGGGGTGACGATACACACACAGATAATTCTTTGTAAATTAATGGGAATCTTTCAGTAGCTTTGATGTGTCACAAAGAACCTTCTACAGCTGGTGTGAATAAATTCTGGAGATGGTAATCTGACTCTGGCAAACAGATTGGGAGATGCAGGTTGTCAGGTTAAAGACTGGACTCCACTGTGGAGCAGCGTTGTAAGGATGAGAAAAGGAACAGCACAACCTCCTGAGGTGTTCTAGCCCTTCACAAATTCAACTCACTCAGCTGCTCTGTCACAATGCCCCCTCTTTTCCACAGTTTATAAGGAAATTGCAACAAAAATCGTGCTTGTTTTGTACTCCTTAAATTAAAAAGGACAGACAGGAATGGACGATATTTGTTCCTGCTGCACTGCCAAAATACATCATGTTCAAGTTGCACCTTTGGTTAAAACACAACAAAATTGTGCTCACACATCTGGTATTCAAGACACCCTTTACACAAATATTATGGATAAGTCACATGACATGGATTTGGATCACAATTTGATGAAATAGGACTTGATTTTAAAGAAAAACTTAAGAGTTAAATAGAACTTGTGCCGGTCTACAGGGTGAATATAAAAAATGAAACTATGTGAAATGCATCATCAGCACTTAGTTTGTGTTGCTAATTTCTCTGGGGGAAAAAATCATTACTTGGTTACTGTGCATACATTTGGTCAATTGAAATGTTTTATGGCTTGAAATTAAAACTCTGAAGCTAGGTTTTGAACACAAACATGGTCACGGGACATTCAACCCTCCCCTCGGGTATCTTTCCTGAGAGGAACCAGAAACCTGCATTTCAAGGGGCAACAAGATAGTGCTAAACACCAGTCACTGTTTTCTAACTCCAAACATATTTTGTTGTCCGTGACTTCAAATGCTGCTTTTGGGACTCTAGTAGTTTGTCCTAAAGCTGAAGTGGTAGCAGCCAGCTGTTTCTCCCTCTCTAATATTATTGAGCAGAAAACCTCACACACCAGTGGTGTTCTGTAAATATGTGACTATGTAAGGAGTGGAGGACCCAGGGAAGTGCAGTGGATTGGCGGGGCCAATACTTGGATGGTCCAATATGGGCCATTCCCATCTGTACCGGGTCGGCCCGGGCCGGGTAGCGTAGGTTGTTTACATATCTGGGTGGCCTGGTATTTTTCCGGGCCAACCAAGGCTCATTCTCGGCCCTCTTCTCGAGGGGGTCTGCTTCAGGCCGACCAGGGCCAACACACCCACTGCTGACAGCAAATTCACACCTTCCATTAGAGCAAGCCTCTGATTGGTGGGTGGAATCAGCCCACATGGGCTTAAGTCAAGGATGTGTGGAATCAACCGGGCCAGGCTGGGGCCGACTGGGGCCAACTGGGGCTACCCAGCCCGGGCCGACCCGGTACAGATGGGAATGGCCCATTAGTTGCTTTCTATCTAAAATGTGTCATTGGCAGAGGTTTTTATACAAATGAGAACCACTTCATTGGTATTTTTTAATCTCCACAATAGAATTAACGCTGTACTGTGTTAGAATAATGTTAAGAGGTATAAAAAAAGTTTTAAGCTAATTTGTTTTCCAAATGTACTATTGCATCCTTTAAAGTGAGTTTTGCCATGGGTGGAGAGTCAGCCAGACTTCCTGTTAGAAAAATGACTGGAAAAAAGAGTTGACTGGAGGACCGAGAGAGCAGCACCCACTTTAACCCCCCCTGCATGCACTCTTGAGTTTTTCAGTTGGAAAAAATGAGTTGTTAACAAGCACGTACACACGATGATACGTCCTTGGTATCATGCATCCAAAACATGAATACACATCTTGTGTATAAAGGCACAGTCCAATATTTTTAACAGATCTAAATAACAGCTGCAAACATTATCAACTTATTCAGAATGCCAAAAAACATCACTCATGCAGATTTGGTGTACAAAAACAAACAGGGACATCGCTTTAACACTGTTCAACATAAAATCATCTGTCTTAGCATTGCTTTGGAAAGAACCTGCCTTCACACCATTACTAAGCTTCAATTATACACGAAACCAAAAGGAAAAGGGTGAACTTGTGACAAGACTAACTATGTTGGTCATATTTACATTTCATTCACTGATTCTGAATCGAAGCATTGAGACAAACAACACGCTCATTATGCTCTGGCTGAAGGACATCGTTACCTTTTTCACACGCCTGATTGTTTTCATACAAAATGACATCTCAGAAGTTAACTATGTTGCTGCTGGTTGTATTGTACAGTACAGACAGGGTCCTTCTCTGCACTGCTGTCAGCCTTGTGATTTTTATAGCACATGAGCACATGCTGTTCTGTTAGGATTTTCAAACACAGCAAAACAGACATATGGGAACTCGACCCCCAGCTGTCAACAACATATATAATCCTGAGTCTCCAGGAAAAAAATCCATGTTACCCAGGGGACCATTTGCAAGTGGGTGTTGGTGTCTGTTATCGCTCCTCAGGTCCATTACACCAAGGACGGAGAGGTGTCAACCACATTTCATTAACAACCTACTGAAAAGATTGGTCTGAAACTTGGGAGGGTAACAAAAGACACATTGTCCACTTACATGTTCAGATTTTTTTAACAAGTCTGCTTTAAGTTTAATAATCAAACTCTTTTAGTGGGATATTAAGAAAAAATGACAGTTGGTGTTTGTAGTTCTTAGCAGCTTCCTCCTAGATGCTGGTCTGCAGCTCGCCATTCAGTAAAGTGCTCTGTGTCTCTGTGGGGTCATTTATCATGCGGGATTTGTCCTGTCGGCTGTCACTGTGGTCAACCTCATCCAGCCCTCCCACCTTCTTAAGGTGCAGGACATTCTGGAAACTCTTTTTGAAGTTCTCCGATAGGAAAGCGTATAGGATGGGGTTTGCACAGCTGTTGGCATACCCCAGAGCCACCACAAAGGCGAAGATGCTCCTCAGGATGGGAGTTGTGTTGATGGTTCCTGTCACTGATGTCACATTAAAGACATAGAAAGGCAGCCAGCAGAAAACAAACACCGCCACC